AAAAATAAGAAATGCTCAGGAAAGTTTTTAGACAATTTCCAAGTGTTATAATGTTATCTTCCTTTGATTATTTTTGAATGCTGTGTTCTTCAGTCTTCTATACATATTCAAACATGTTCTAGTCTAATCTATCCTGGGATTCAATGCTGAACAAAATTTTGCTATTTATTCGGCTAACATCAAAGGACTAAAACAATAAAAGCAAAAATAGAAGAGTCTTATTTCATAGAGGTATGTAAGGAAATCTGATTATTCACATTTGAGAAAGTAATCCTGTAGAATTTATAGACAGGCCTCACGGGGAGATGGAGTTTCTATCTCTGCCTAGATTTAGAAACTGTCTATCCAAAGAAGACAAACACCACTGAAACATTTATAAGAGGCATTTTGAAGACCATATCTTCTCAATTCCAGTAGCTGATAATCTCCATCCAGAAATCTACCTAATAATTAAAATTCAATGTATTTCTCCTCTTTTAAATCATTTCCCTTTTGCCCTCCGTTTAGTACAGTGAAATTAGCTGATCAGCACTGTTAAACAATAGTCTAATAAAGTCAACAGAAATATACATTTCATCTTTCTTTTTATCAGGCTATGCCAAAATCAGTTTACCTTTGTTTATATTTTTCTCCCCCAGATACTAGAGCTTAGAGCTGGGGCCATGAGCACTTGCTAATTTTTTTCTGCACAACGCTGGTGCTGTACCACTTGAGCCATACTCTCATTTAAAGCTTTCTGCTGGTTAATTGTTAAGACTCTCCTGGACTTTCCTGCCTAGGCAGGCTTTGAATCAGGATCCTCAGATCTCAGTTTTCTGAGTAGCTATGATTACAGGTATGAGCCAGTAGCACTCATCTATACATTTCTTTCATAACAAAATGTTTTATTCATAAGTCCCATGCATGTTTCATTCACAAGACAATAAACATATTTGTTATATTATCAGTAGGCACAAATTCAGTAAAATAATAGCTACTTTGGTCTAAAAATGTGTGCTTAAACATTCATTGTTTCATCACTTTTTCTCAGTTATGGTTACATACATTGCAACACTAACACATCTCTATCTTAAAAAGGGATCCATAATTCCAAAATATGAAGAAAATAAATACTTAGAAACTATGATTATGATAACAATTTCCCTTGTTATGTTTTTAGAACATTCCAGAAATGTTAAATGTATTTCCTGAACTGTCAATGAGTTCATAGTCTTAACAGATGGATATATGCATCCATATTATTCTGCAAGACAAGAGCTTCTAGTATCCAGCTAGTGTTGTAGTCTAAAGGTAGTGAGAAAGGCTAAGGAAGACTTGAGTGAAGTCTAAGCTGAACATGAAAAGGGAAGATTTTAAGCCCAGAAAGCAAATGTGAAAATTTACAACAAAGCAAAGCTAAACCTGCCCGAAACTGATCTGCTTGAAGAATTGAAAAGGTTAGAAGGATTGAAAATGCAGCAAATGAGAAGGAACTGGGTGCTGAAGTAGCAAGAGTTAAAACATCAAAGGTAGTCAATTCCTGATTAGAGAAGAATTTCCTGAACAATTCAAGAAACAGGACATTGTCCTGTAGGAAAAATTAACAAGGCCAGATGGCACGTGTCACTGCAAAGAGTTGGTTAGAAGAAAACAAAGGCAAAGAAATCAAGTAACGCTGATTTCAGCTCAGGCAAGGCAGCACGTGGGTATGAAGGAACTAAGGACAGAGTGGAGGCCATGAAATGAAGATCAACAACTTGATTCATGATTTGAAGCCTATAATAAAGAACTGAGGTGGCTGAAGATACATCTTAGATTTTTCCTAGTGGATAACAATACCATTAATTTAGGAAACCAAACAAAGAATTAGAAGAGAAATTTTGGTCAGGAAGCAATGGATACAACATTGCGCTTGGTGGAGTGTAAGTTGTAGATAGAGCACCACATGAAAAATTAGAGATGGTGTTTAAAGGGTGTTTCACACAAACACCCAGCTGACAGTTGATGAGGTAGTCCAGAGATGTTGCCTTTATTTCTGGTTTGCAAGGATGGATCACCTAGCTGGAGGCGAGAACATGGAAAAGAGCTCTTCATAATTACATTGAGCCGTACAGTAACCATTATCCACATATGATTGAAGTTAAAGTACTCAAGATTAACTAAAGTTAAAAGGCCATTTCAGTAGTTCACAAGGCACATTTCATATGTTTAATGGTCCATGTGACTTGAGTTTACTCCACTGGTTCACAACAATGTAGGCCATTTCCAACAACACAGAGTCCTACTGATGAGCATGGACTTGGAGCATGTAAAATATAAGAGAAGATGTAGAGACCTGCCCCCAAGAAAGAAGAAATACACAAAGAGGAGAGAAGTACAATAGAATGGAGTGAGGGGAACTAATCAAAGAAGGAAAAAGAGAAATTAAAAAGTCACATCACTGTGACCAATACAGAAAATCTGAAGCAGACAAAATACTGAAGAACAAGACGGTATAAACCACTACCTCTAAGTGACTTATTTTTCCCCAACATTTGATCTTGTATTGAAAATGTGGACAGTATTACATTGGAATCATTACCAGTTTCTTCAGATATATAATGAATGACTCAAGCAAATGAAATATTTTACTCAGATGATAGTGTTACCTTTTAGGAAATATCTAAGTGACCTACAGGAAGAGAAACATTGGCAATATGGCCCGTTGCCTTCCCATATTTTAATCAATAAAGGAGCTCTTGTGTAGCTACCGTCCTTAATCCTTGTTCTTCAGGGAGTTTTTAAGGATCTTTAATTAAAGTCTATATTAACCTGGATATGTTTCTTGAAAATATATGTCAAATACCAGCATGCAGATATCTAAAAGCACAAAATATTCTATTCTCAGATCAAAGCTAAAGCTAATGGAACAGTAATTAGAAAGAAATGAGAGATGATTGTTTTATAGGCAGAAATTTCATTTGTTTCTGGAGATAGTATAGTGGTGCAACAATGTGAATGTGCAAAGGCCCACTGAAGACTACACTTAAAATGATTGATTTGTGCGAAGCATATTTTACCACCATATATATATATTTACATATATATATATATATATGCACATGCACACATAAATATTTTTTTTCAGTCAAGCTGAACTAAAAGTCGGAACACAGAGCCAGGAGCTGGTAGGTAGCACATATAATCCTAGCTATTCATGAAACTGAGTTCCAAGGGTCATGCTTCAAAACCAGCCCAGGCAGAAAAGTCAGTGAGACTCTGTATCCAAAATATTCAGCAAAAAGCCACGATGGAAGCATAATTCAATTAGTAGAGTCCAGCCAAGTCATCAAGCAAACCAAATGTGAGGCTCTGAGTTCTGACTTCAGTAAGATTAAAAAAAATACAGATAAAAAATACACATAAAAGGATGCATCATAGAAAGAAAATCTCCAAGATACCTCTCACAACCTCTGGGAAACTGGAACATAGCAAATAAAAGTTTAAAACATTTCCAGCAAGTATCTTCTACCTGAAGTAATGTAAGTATCTGTAACATTGAGGTAATTATGGTGTAAATATGGGCTCTACACATTGTAAGGAAGCACACATCTCTACTGTTGGTTCGGCTTCATCTGAGACTATAAATGGCCTGGTATGCAATACCAACAGAATAAAGAGGTGTTAGGCCAGTGTCATAGTCAGTGTGGCATGTAAACCTTCCTCATTATAGCCAATGTCACGTTCCACTTTTGGTTTTCTGCTTTCCATTAACCTCGGACCAAAATGATCAAATGAAAAGTTCCAGAAATAATTTGCAATATTTAATTACTTTTATAAAAATATATTGTCATAATTTTTGTTGTTGTTGTTTATTTCATGTTGGCACTAGGATTTAAACTTAGAGTGTCAGGCTTTCCTTTGGCTGTTTTAGGTAAGCTGGTATTCTATCACTTGAGCTTCACCTTCAGTTCTGCTTTTTGCTGGCTAATTAGACATAAGAGTCTCACTGTATTTCTGTTCTGAATAGTTTTGAATCTCAATTCTTAGAACTCAGCCTTCGGAGTAGCAAGGATTAGAAGTGTACACCACCAGCCCCAGGCTCTTCTATTTTATTATTATTATTTCTTTTTATCTGTAACTTGTGCCTAATTTATAAATTAAGTATGAGAAAAAGCATAGCATATGCTGCACAATGTTGTTCTGACCTATGCATAGTTTGAGACGTCCGCAGAACTTCTTGGTACATAACCCTGCAGAGAGGGCAGGACTACTGTAGCTTCTTTCCCTTACTCTTTCTCAGGTCAGTAGCTACAGTTAGCTAGGAGAATGGTAAAGTATAAATATCAGCAATAAACCCTGGGGCAACTATGTTTGTGCTCACTTGGCAATTAAGGGAGGGCAAGTATCCCATGAATCACTCTTCGTGTATTCTCTGACAGCAAGACTGTCATGTAGTCTCGGGAGCAAGGTCAGAGAAAGGACACAGGAAGGACCCTGAAACAGACCAATGGCTGCTTCCATTTGTGTTCTCACACCTAGAAGCAGGAAATTTCAAGCTAAAAATGAAATTAAAAGAGGTAACATAAAATAGTACCCTAATCCAATGAACGCTTGGTTTAGAAGCTTTTCCAATTTCTACAATAAACTAATTTCATACAAATTTTAACTCTGTCTCCCACCAGCATGCAGACTTTTCCTTGTGAACGAACTGGCAAAATGGAAGTAAACACTTGCACATTCATGGATCACACTCTGGTCTGTCTCCAAGGATATGTACCAAATATGGAGAACAGAAGAAGCATCTTAAACAACTTGGTTTTCCCTGCCCACTTCTGGAAGCTTTGTTCAGGTCGTACAGTGACTCAGCTCATGTGGCAAGCTGACATCTAAAATCGCTTCATGATGACAAGCTAAAACAGACATTGTCTCAATGTCAGAAGTGAAAACCAACCAAAGAAAAAGAAGGAAAGAAGACAGAAAACAGAATGGAGGAAAGGAAAGGAAAGAAACAAGAAGTGAATCACATTACGTATACTTACAACTTTCAGCTTGATAGTCTGGCACAAACTGCTCATCATTGTCAGGTACCTGAGCTGAAGAAAGAAAAAAAAAAATTAAATTAAGACAGGAACTGCCAAGGCATAAGGAATGTCAAATCAGATCTGTCAGGCAAGGTCTTTTTAGGCTGAGATCAAACCTATGATTACTTGCCAATAAGCTCCTATTTAAAATGGCCTTGACAGTCAGAACTACTTAGGAGGGAACACAGAAGGGCCCATTGATGTGAGCTAGAAAACATAAATATGTCACAAATATGGTGGCAGGTGTAGTCCCTATCAATTTCACTTGCCAGATAGAAATAAAAGAGCCACAAAATAAAAGAAGTTATAGGATTTCTATTTCCTGCAGCGTTTTATTTTGCAAGAGTTGAGCCAAAGGTATTTCAATTCACCACTGCCAGAGCTTTAGCAGCCCATCTAAATGAACAACATGATTCCTTTCAGTCTTGTGTAGCATGCACACACATCTCTCTGCATTTTTAGAAATGATGACTTTTGATATGTTCCATCCCTGGTAAATTCAACTACTATTATTTCAAAACATTTGCTTTAACTTTAACCATGGAATGATAGAAACTTTTAAAAATGACAAGACCTGCCAGTAATTTGGGTCACATATAACCAAGTAATATACTGTAATAATTATAATTATCATAATAAAAATAATAAAACAAATGCCATATTTTCATGTAAAATATTTTCCTGGCTCTCTTCAGCACTAACAAAAAGAATATTCCTAGTTCATCAGTTTTAATGTCAAATGACCTCCTTATTTTTAGTAAAGGAAAAACACTGAATAGCAAGGAGCTAAGGCATTTAACAATGACCAAAACTCAAGGCTACTTTTTCACTTTGAAAATTTTTTCATCACAGTTGATTGGGACACAGAAATAACCCATTGCAAACTGCACATTAGAGAAATGAATTTGGATAAATATACATACCCTTATGTATACAAATTACATAAAAGGAAAGTTAGATTTGTTTGAACATGGAAAACATAATTAATTATCCTCTTGATTAACTCTAAGTATGATTTAATTAGCTAGTATAACTTCACTAGTATTTTACAATTACTTTACTAACATTGAAAGTTTTTAACGCAATCAAGTTACATTGTAATAAACATCCAACCATTCTATTCTTTATGTGAAGTGCTTTTTTAAAACAGAAATACTTGGCAGAGTAAAAATTTATGTTACATTATTAAAATATAACTAATTGCCTAAGCAGTTTGACACTCAGCTGTTTTCTAGCAACTTCCTCCCAAACATGTAAATTTTACTTTATTACAGAAACACCACTTTCTCCACTACATGAAACTAAATGAAGAATAATATCAAGATATAATGAATGCCTATTTGATCGGCATACATGGAAGAAGGTTTTCTTGTCACTGTATTTGATACTATGGTGGTTATAATGGTATTACATCTAGATAACTAATAGATCTGTGTCTTGCTATTTATGTAACTTTGGGTAAATTATTTAAACCCACTAGTTTAATAGTGATATTAAAAAGTTGTGTTTTCTGTTTTGATTTTGGTAAGGATTCCATAAAACATTTAAACAAGTATTTCTTTTCTGCAGTCAAAAACAAAAAAAGTACTTTAATCATAACTTAGCTTATTATCCCAACGTCTAGTGACTTATACTAAAGACAATCTAATGAGTTATACCGGAGACAAGAAAAGACATAACAAACTGTCTTTTTACATTACATAAGCTTGATGGTTCCCATAGACTCGTAAGTTATCGGGGAAGTAGTACACTTTAAATTAAACATCAAAAATAATTTAAATATTTTAATATATATTTAGGAATCAAAAATAATTTAAATATTTTAATATATATTTAGGAAGTAATAGCAAGTAAGCAATTAAATTCTGCACTGTCCCCACTATAGCCAGATGTTTCAGAGTTCTCTCTAAATTAAGATTTAAACATATAACTGTTGAGGTGTTAAATGATCACCCATGGCAATTATTGTGCTTTTAAAGAAATCAAACATTAAATATCTCACTTGCAGGAATAGTTTAAACAGTCAATGAGTAGCAAAAGCGTATTTGTAATTGAAAATTTTAGTATGAATAGACTACATGCTACTTTTTTTTTTCCTGCTTATGTCCTAAAGCAAAGTTCCAACTCCACAGTTGCAAGTACAACCTAGAAGTCCCTGATGATATGTATGTATTGGCAAATGAAGGGGACATAGAAACTATGCCTCACAGATACAGAGAAAATAGCTGCATGCTAACAATCTGTGTTGAGAAAATTTAAAAAAAAAAAAAAAGAAAAAAAGAAGGATAAGAAGTACTATTTCAGTACAAAAATCCTTTCCTTAACATTCTGAATAAATACTTCACACTTATGCTTGAACATATTACAGAATTTTAACAAAAAACATATGACTCACATTTTCACAGAAGCTGATCTTAAGAAACTGAATAGACCAAATGAAGCAGCATGCTACTTAAATAGACAAAGGCTTAAGTATACCTCTAATTTCAAGTTGGAGTAAAAGGAAAGAAAGCATTTTAACTAAAAACACAAGTTGGATCTGGGCAAGGAAAATATGACAAAGTATTGCCACACTTGTATCATTCATTTCCTTTTTTTTTTTTTTCTCCTCCCCTTTAATTCATGAGAATTTTGTGAAGAAGCAAACTACAGCTGCCTGAAAATTTGTAGTGATCCATACTAAAGTTGAAAATTAACAATGCAGGCCAACCCTTTAAAAACGTTTTTTTTTCCCTGCTATTATCTCTTATAAACTATGCTTAAATGATCACCTTTGGGGAATAAAAATGTTTCTCTCATGTAATTAAGAGGAAGGAGAAGAGAAGGAAAGGAGAAGATGAGAAAATACATACCAAAAGACCAATAAAAGGCTTTCAAGAAGATTAAGCATGTAGATTGTATTGGTAATAGCTGAAGCGGCTTTATCGGCTCATTGTACATTAATAGACAAGTTGCCATCAAGTCTCAGGACCTCAGCTTTAAAAGGAGAGCATCTGCATGCTCAGCTAGATTTGCTTTACCTAGCTTATTATCCAAGGTGTTCTTTTCTTTTCCTTTATTTTTTCTACATAGCAATACATATTAGGGTAAAGAAATTTATAAAAATATTAATCCTGACCTAAATGTCACAGAAACATCAACCCTCATTTTTACTTCAATATCCTTTTCTTAAGTAATCTTGCCTCAAGGATGGACAATTTTAAATACGGCTTGCCTTTACTTTACACCTATTTTTAACTTTTAAATAAAACCATATTCATTACTTTAAAAAAAAGTGACCCATAAAAAAATTTTCAAGGTTAGCTACAGGCAAATAAAAGATCCACTCATTTTTGCAAGCTAACTGTTTTTCTTTTAAAACTAGGAACAAGGAGAAAAAATAGAAATAAAACAAACATCAAGTATAAAAGGGGTTAATATTTAATTAAAACCAGTTCTATCCACTGTAACAATGACCTGGAGCCAAACAAGGCGGAAGATGTATGAGTCATTCTTTCTGCCAGTGAATGAGACAGCTGATCTCCTCAGCCATTCCTCAAGACAAGCAGGCAGAACTGGAGTTCTGCCCCCATTCACAAAAACACAGTCCAGCCTAAGCCATGTGGCCCAACCACAATCTTTTCATGTCACACCCTTCCAGAGAACTAACGCAAGTAAACTTGAACTTGCAATATAAACACAGTTTTATTGCTGGGCCTCAAATAGAGCTCAGATCCATTCAGAAACATGTTTAAATAAATGGCAAGTTTATATACATGTCTACATATATAGTGTGTGCGTGCATGCATGTGTACACGTGCACATGCACGCCCACACACATTTAACCCTTCGTGCTTTGCTGAATAACTTTTGACAGAAATTTGAATACACAGAAATAACAAAAGAAAAGTAGAAAAACAGGAAAATAAAAGAAGGAAAGATGGAAAGATGGAAGGAAGGAAGGATGGAAGGGAAGGAGGGAGGGAGGAAAGAAGGAAGAAAGGAAGGAAGGAAGGAAGGAAGGAAGAAAGGGAAATGAGTTAGGGGAACAACTCTGTAGTAGATCTAGTAGATCACTTGTTTAGGATAAGAGAGGCCTGGATTTGATCCCCAGGACTACAAAAAAAAAAATTAAGCAATGTCTTTCTTTTCTTGCTTATTATTAACAGCTTTTATCATAAGAATAATGGAATACTGTGGAGCTTTGTAGCATTTCACTCTGAATCAAAGGGCTAGAAACAAACTTTTCTAAAGACATACAAGTTTTTTTTTTAAAAAAAAGCAAAACAATAAGAAAATTAATCTTTGCACAAAGGTACTTACTTCTAAAATAGGCCTCAGGCCATGGGACAAAATAATCTAGAGTCCCCTACGCCTAGTTTTATAGCACATCCGGTTTTAACATGAAAACGACTGTACCCATGCAAAAGCATTAATTAATGCCAAAGTATAAACATATTTACGCAGACAAAAAAAGGAGAAAGGGCTATTTCCCATGACAGAAACACCTTTAACACTTTGTAAGTTTTTTGGACATGCTGTGAAAAAAAGAAACCATGAAGTTTTAATTGTCTTGAGTTTCAAATCAGCTTCAATTTCCAACTAAATTGACCTATGGGGGCTTGAAAACTGAATGGAAACTCAGAGACAACTAGCTGTTGTTTGTAGCCAAATACTTTCTCTAATGCTACATGTCTGATTATTATTAATAATAGCTACAAGATTGTACGCAAGTCAAAGAAATAAAGTTAAACCCCCAAATGCAAGAAATTACACATTTCCTGTAACTGAACTAGACAACTCCTAGGAACATTTATTTGACATTTACTAGGATCTTCTAGCAAAACTACATCAAGCTACATCAACTTCAGTTTTTCCATTCAAATAGAAAATTTACTATTTTGTAAAACCAACTTAGATGAAAAAAAAAATCCATGTATTTTAAATGAATGCTTAGAAAGAAAATACATTCACTATCTTTAAAAGTCCAAATCAGAAATCTTTAATATTTACAATTTTCCTGATATACTATATACCAGTTTACACACAACATGAATGAATTCTTCCTCAAGTCTAAGAATATTTATGGATTTCTGAATTTAATGCTGAATTCTCACTTCCTGTTTTGTGTAAACCACTCACACACACAAAATGTAGTTTTTAGAGCTTTTATTCTTTACTTCACCTTATGTGGCAAAAAGAAAGTAAAAGACAAAGGAGCCCATATGTGATGTCATATTCTATGGAAAAAAGAAATTGAATTAGTGAACAATAAAAATAAGTGTCTAGTGGCTCTGTATTATAGATGTAACATACTATGTCACAACAGCATACATGGTTTCTGAAATAGTATTACAATGATCTTTATTAGGAATTTAGCATCAGTCTTTGAACCTTATCATCATTTGAAGATTATTTAAAAACAAAAGGGGGAAAAAAATCTTACTTGCAGTAATAATATAGTTGGGTATAGGAAGATTATCTATACTAAGCCACTAACAAATATTTCACTCTGATGGCAGCAAATCAAAGAGCTAACTTTTCCTTATAAAGTTAAGATCTAGACCCATAGCAAAATAACAGTCAAAAGTAAAAGCTGTGTGTTTGCATTAGCTTTATACTTGAATTAATAATTTCTCTTTAAGCTCTGTTTGTAGGTAAGCTTGAAGAAGCAGGCTTGAAGAATGCAATCCTTTTCTTAACTCAGTTACTTTTCACATCCTTCTATTTCCATCCCTGATGTTAGAAGTCCCACTTTAAGTATGACATTTTAGGACGCCAGTTACCAAAACACTAAAAAACTGATTTAGGACCAGAAGTTACTATGGTGTTGCTAGAATTAGGTTTGAACTTATTTTGTGGGATCACATAATTCCAATTGCCCTTCTGTCAGTAGCAATCTATTTCAAAAGTCAAAGAATCAATAAAGAATTGTGCAACAATAATATAAAGTAGCTATGTTAAAATTTATAGTAGAAAGATTCTCTCATTAAAAAAAATCTACTTCCATAGTCTTTAAAACATTAGGTTTTCTATTTTCCTCAGATTAAGATGATTATTTTAAGCAGTGGTATATATGGCTAAAACTTTTAAATTGCAATGTTAGTGCTTGGAAAGTGAAATTAAAGTAAAGTTAAATTCTTCACAAACACATTTTAATTCCTTATATGAAAATAAACTTTGGAGGGGAGGCCAGTGAAATGTTTTTCAGAGGACTTCACTGAATTGAAAATACTAGCTCTGTTCCAACCTCAACTCAAATAGCCAGGTCTTATCTATCCCAACTTCCCCTTAGAGATAAATCCATAATATAATCTACTTAGGACTAACGCATATGTCACACTTAGTACAAATTATAAAAGTTCTTGCAGGATAAAACAAATTAAAAATGCTAAGCTGTATCACTTTTAACTATTTAGGAACTTCAATAATTTTTTTTTAAACATGACTATCATCACAACTAACTTGAGTCTCTTGTCTAATAAGATTGTTTTAGACTTATTTAGCCCCCCAGTGAGATTCTAACTTATGAGAGAACTTGGTTAATTGCCAATGATCTTTTTTAAAAAGGTCAAGATGCCTCAGATTCCATGGTCACTTACTTGGCTTATGAAGATCATGAAGAGAAATATGTATATGGTTCATAGTGTGCCAATTTAGCAATGTTTTAGTTTCTGGATATCCATAAGGACATAAATGGACAAATTTAGCTACAAATAAACTAGGGTAATAGGGATCCCTCCTTACCTAATATTGCTCAAGGAATTGGATAAGTTAAGTTAAAATCTGTGGGCCAAAAATGACTGTATTTAATTGCTAAAAAGAAACATAAATGTGGAATCCATTAACAGTAAGAAAAATTATTAAATTATACTAAATTTTTGCTTATATCATGATTTGCTAAATTAATGTAAACTACTTTGAAGATGTTTAAATTATTCTAACATGCAATCTTACTCACAGTTTGTAAATAGTTGTACACCTGGGTATTCAATAAAACACTCAAGATTAATTTCTGAATTTAATTAAGCTTATGAATTATTTTCTAAGTAAAAGCCTATGTTCCTCCAAATATATTAGTCATTTTCTAAGCTCATTTCATATAAATATAAATTTCCAGATTTATTGATAGGAACGTTCATAATCATGGATAAGAATATTTCATACAGAATTTTCAAAGATAAATTCAGATTAATTATTCAAATCATTTGTCTAAGGCTATAAGACACAAAACAAGTCAAAAGTTTTAAGAAGATGTACTAAAACTGATTATAAAATGGTAAGTCTGCCACAGATTCCTCAGTTTAAAATTCCAGAAACAGAGCTGCTATGCATATTCAAATCTTCTAGAAAGTACTCTGACTTGGAATCAATCAGAATTAAACATTTTAAGAACAAACAAACCTTCCATAACAATGAAAACAGGCATTTTAAGTTATTTGAGGTGAGTAAATTCTCCCATAAATATAAGTCCTCTCAACATGCACCTTTGCAAAATTGAGGTAAAAGTTAATAAAAAGTACCTTTGCAAATTTTCCATGAAAAAGTAATGTTCAAATATATGGCTCATGTTCCGATAATAAGTAATCTATTGCAATAAGTTTCAGTTATAGACAAGCAAAAATGACCTTTAAATATAACCCAAACTTTCATTAATACTTACCTTTCATTAACATCCAAATACAATACAGTCACACTTTCAAAAGACTATTAAGCAAGTTATTTGACTTAATGATTCATAAAGATTGTGAAAGCTTTTTGGAGAGCTAAAATATTATCAACACAAAAAAACTTACTTTACATTCTAAAAGCAACTTGATCAACTGTATTCAAGACAACCAGATAAAATGGATATAATGCTTCAATCAGCTTAAAGTAACACCACATCACTTGAGTTAAATTCAGAGACCCTCTCTCTACTTTTAGCCATCTTCAAACTTGTTCCAAAAACCAGGTTTCTCATAGAATGTGAAAACACAAACACAATTACAATTAATGCTTAAACATCTGTAACTTTCCCTTTGTGTTCCTCCCATAGCAAGTCATAAAACTAATGTATCATTTAACAAATCAAATCCAAAAAACAGAATTTCAAATCATAGAGACCAACAACAACTACAAAAATTCCTCAAATGCAGGCATTTCTGAAAATGTAGAAAGCTTTAACTGAAGCAATCTTATGTTTCCTATATAGAAAGTTGCACAGAAATAAAATTTCAGCAAAAAGAATTCCAAATTCCTTTCAATGTCTCCTTGACATTGTAATTAAACCCTAATAAAAGTGACAAAATAGCAAAAGTCAATTTCAATAAACATCACATTCATAGTAATACATGATAGATATTATTTTAATCTTCAAATCCCTCCAAGATTTATTTTAAACCCATAGATTTACTAAGTATTGAATACACACCAAATGTTCTGTGTTGTGAGCAGGGCGGAAAGAAGACACTTGCACTTAAATCTTGAAGCATCCCGTCCTGATGAACCCAGAGAAACTAATTTCTGCCATCAGCAAAGTCCTCCACCAGAACACCAAATAATGACATGCGCTGCTCTAAAGGAAACAGCAAACCAGCCCGGCTCTGGCTCTAGGAGGTCTCTCGAGGTACAATAATATAAACCTGATCAATTGCAATTAAAATCTGAACAGAGGCTTAGAACTTGAAGTCTTGGTGCATTAGTTCTTGCCAAAAGCAGATGTGATTGTGAGCTGGAAGCAATTTCTCCTGGTAATTTGTGATGACACTGGGTAGTACAGCCCCAGAGTCCCCAAAGACAAACTCATCAGAGGCTCTAATGTATGCATGACACATGAGGTGGCTCTTTTAGAGCTCAATTAATTGGGCTGAACATTAAGACAGCAAGTTCAGGACTTCTTTTTTTTCTTTCTTTCTTTTTTTTTTTTTTCATTTCTTCAGATGCTTCCTCCCCCCCCCCCCCCACCCCTTTTAAGCAATTTGTTTCCTTACCTTCTGCCAGCCATGTTTCCTGTAATTGACTTAGATCTTGAAACAGTTCTAAAAAACAAAAAAGTCAAAGATATAAACATAAGATTTGCAGAGCTTTGGGCTTCATTAAAAGGAAATGTGTTTGTCATGAAATTGGCATTAAGTATTAATTTGAAGAGGCAGTTGATGGAAAAGAAAATAGGATTCTTATTTAAAATATCTTAATAATCTTACCAACTTTTGAAGCCCATTAGGCAACACTTTAAGAAATTCTCTAGCTAAGTAAATAATAGTCAGTTATCTTCCTCTTTTATTTTCCTCCTTAACAGTTTAAGAAGCTCAGAAATACCACCCCCAAAAAACAAAACAAAACAAAAACAAAAAACCCCACTACATATGCACTAAAAGGCACAGAAAGACTGAAGTAGAAGGTGGTCTATTGTCAGTAAACTTGTCTTAAATATGCTCAACTCTTGCTAAAGTAAAAAAAAAAAAAAAGTAGGGGAATGATTAGAAAGACTGGAGAAGCTTTATTACTGTCTTTTGAATCTAATACAAGATATTAACAGGACTTGAGTTCTCGGGAAGTATGCTTTTCAGGTCTAATGCTTCAAAACTAAAGGGAACGACTTCAACAACTCCAAATTCTTAAAGGAAAAGTTTTGCATTAATGAGTTTTTTAAAGCATAAGGTAGATAATCTTCTAGCTTATGTACATAGTCAAGTCCAAACATTATATCTTGCCATATAGGGGAGAAAGGGAAGTATCCAACTAAAGTATGAAGATTTGGGGTTAGTTCCTGAATTCAGTATACATAAATTTAAATTTCAAACTGAACTTTGATTTCAAAAATATCAGAGTATCTTCAAGTCATTATGAATGCCCCCATATGGTTGAAATAATATATAGATATCTTATCAACAGTTCATGAAAAATCTGCCACCTAATTTCCAAATAGTCCAATTACTAATTAGGCCTTAAGTAGGACTCAGTGAACACTTTAAGGCCTCTTAACAAGATGTTATGACTTTACAATGTAGTCATCAAACTCACTCATAAAAAAATCTGATAACAATATGATTTCACTATACAGTAAATGGAAAAATCAATCATTTGTATCATTTAGCTTGTAATAATGTTGAGAGAATATAAGCAATGTACCTAACTGCTTATTTTGTCCTACTGTATTGGATATTTTAAAATTGTTATCTTAATGTAGAAGATTAGTTATAAGCCATATGGACAAGAATAAATATAAAAGGATGATTAAAGAAGAATGTCACTGTTAAGTTTTTATTTCCTCCTTTGTGGTAGGAACATAAAATATTCACCAATGCAAATTGACCCATTATGTAAATTGCTCTGAGTAAAAGTCTCAGTTAAATTCAGTAATTTCAAAATTGCTTACTTTTAAGATAATACTGAAGTGTTCCCCTTGCTTTCAAGAGTAGAAAGTGTGTAGGTAAAGTGTATTTGTGTGTGTGTGTGTGTGTGTGTGTGGGGGGGGGGGGGGGGGGGGGGGGGGTTCTGCTCAAAAATCAAACCTCACCTTCTGAGTCATGAGCCAGATCTCTGTTAATGAATTTTCTTTTCCTGACATTTGTTGGTTTCTCGTTACAATTTCTCCCACGCTGACTCTACAAAAAGGAAAGATAAAAATCCTTTAATAGAATCTTTTAAAATAAAATCCTGTAAAACCTTAGATCTCTCTCTCTCTCTCTCTCTCTCACACACACACACACAAATATGCATACATAACATAAGTCTACTGATCCTCTCTCTGAATAGACAATGTTGATAAGATCACTTCTAATATTCATTTTCTGCCTTCATTTTCTTTTAAGGCTGGAAATTCAGCAGCAAGTGAGTGATTTCCCAATGCTGATCTTAACACTACTGTTTATCAGTCATATATATTCATGGTATCTCAACATCCAAACATTAAGCTCTAACACTTAGTCCTCTCTCTCTCTCTCTCTCTCTCTCTCTCTCTCTCTCTCTCTCTCTCTCTCTCTCTCTCTCTCTCTCTCTCTTGTTGGATGAACACTAGATTTAAATGCCATGAATTTTTATTCTCTCAGCACTTCTCCCAAAAGAATTAACAGGAGAGGGCCCCGTTCCCCCCCCCCCCCCCCCCCCCCCCCCCCCCCCCCCACCCCCCCCCCCCCCCCCCCCGCCCCCCCCCGGTGATACAAAAAGTGTCAGCATTTGTCTCAACTTCATTCTTTTCCATGTGGCAGAGAAACCCAGCCACAAACTTTGAGGCCAGCAGCTGCTGCCCTCCCTCTCCGCTTCCACTCATGAAGGGAACTTTAATCCGGAAAAAAAAAAAAAAAAGAAAGAAAAGAAGGGGGAAGGGATATTAAAAACAAAACTATGCCGTATCCAAATCACTGAAAGGTAAGCTCATTTTGAAGATGGGACTGCTAGAGGCAGAGTCGCCCTACAGTGGCAACAAAGCAGATAAAGTATCTGCAGTCCCAACCCCCTGCCCCCCCCCCATCTCTCCCCACCCCACCCCGGTCGGAGTCAAGTTTATAAACAGCAACTTTCAAACGGAGCACTCACTGGGGTGACCACGTAAGGCACTTGCTGGTCATAAAATCCATCCATTCTGCTGCTCTTCGCAAATATTAGCTCAGTGTTTTATATTTTGAGCATTTAGCTGGAGATTTCCTCGGGATCTGGACTTCTAGCAACCTAGAGGGGAACAAGATGGCTTTTAGGCTTAAAAAAAAAATCATGAATGAAGCTCTTAAATTTGCATAGCTAATTACCCTCTGACAGTCCCATTCACAAAAATAACCCTCCCTACACCGCCTCCTTCACCTGGTTCCAAACAGAGCTAAGAGAGTTTACAATTTACGTATTTTTTGGTAGTAGTAATAATCCGAACAAGAGGCTATGTATTTATTTACACTCTCGATGTTTCCCTGGGCGATCGGTGTGCCCTGGGCAGCTCAGATTCGTAAACGTGTGCAAAACTAGCAATGGCGATCAACGAAGACTTGCTTTACACCTAACGGGACTAAAAGAGACGGAGACACCTCTTTCCTACGGATAGTTTTTGCAACCCACAACCATGCAATTATCTGGAGAGACAGGAAAAGTTGCTGGAAAGACCCACCTGAAGGCCACGCTAGGAGAACGGCTGCAAAAAATTCCCTCCAAATTTAATAAAAACATTAATTATTGCCCAGCATTTCCCCTTGGAAGCCGAAAGCGCCTCTGACAGAGCTCAATTCGGTGGTTTTTCCTCTACTTCTCCTCCAGGGGCCTCCAATCCAAACTGATGGATCGCTGCCTCCCATTGGCTCCACGTCTCTTTCACAATATCAGATTTCGGGCTGTCAATCAGGCGGCTGGCTGCCCCTTCCCGCGGGTCGCCTGCGCCCCTCGGCCCCATCCAGGGCTCTGCCTGCGGCGCAAAGGTCTGCGCCCTGGAAAGGACACGGAGAAAATCGACTTCCTTCCTAACTCGCCGCTTATTGTTAAGGCGCCGGGGGTTGCTGAAACCATGTCTAACCGAGGTGCCAGATCTCATTACTTGGTGTGTTTGGTCCACTGTTGGGGCTGATTCCGTTAAAAACATTGTTCCATGGTTCAGGTGTAAACTCAGAGGAGGGCTCCACAAAGTCCGAGTCTCCCCAGCCTCCCCTCTCCCCCCCCCCCACCCCGATCTCCAGCCTCTCTACTCTTGACCCCACTAACCTCGCCCCCACTAACCTTTTGGGCCACGTTTTCCCCTCTCATTTTTCAACATTTATCATTGCCGTTGCTTATCAAAAGATTTGCTTTAAATCCATCCTCAATTAAAACCAACTCAAGGGACAGGAAAATGATCTGTGATGGGAGTATGTGGAGGAGGGGGTATTTATTAGGAAGGGCGAAGTGTACAGAGTCACCTAGGCGAGGAAAGTATAAACCCCCCGGTCTTCCCCACGTATCCGTAGGAGAATAGGTATTCTCGCTCCACGGCGGGGGAGGAGGGGAGGAGAGCGGAGGGGACGGGGTGGCTGGGGTGCCCCAGGGACCCGCACGTTTCCTGAGCTTTTGTTATGTATACACGAAGGCGGAGGGTGTCGCTTACTGTACCAGACGCTTTCACTTCCTCTGGAGCTTTGAAACAGCCAGAGCCCAGAGTTTGGGGGCTAGCGGTCAGAAAGCTCGAGTTACAAGAACAATAACCAGGACATCTAAGAAGTGAGGACTACCAGTCTAAAGCCGCTTGCCAATGGAGTTTGGGAACCCCTAAAACGTTCCCGAACCAGCTAAGAGTCCAACTGGGAAGGGGAGGCCTCCGATGGGAGGACGAGGGGGGTCCCGCAGGGCTGAAATTCACCGAGGATCCTGATGGCGAACCGAGCCGGTGACCGGAGTACGTTTCCGGCAGCTGTGCTGCTCGTGGGAAACGTGCTGCAGTTCTCAATTTCTGTTTCAAAGTTTCTTTCCTTAAATGGAGCTTTGTGCAGACACATTAAAATGGAGTGTGAGCGCACCACTCCGTTCGGGACCCACGGAGGAGAGGCAAGGGCTCGACTGTCCCGAAGATCAGCCCTGTTGATTGGGAATGTAATGAATACCTGGACGGCCCGCACAGACCCAGCGCGGACACGGCTGAGCTCCGCGCGCGCCTCCACCGGCGCTTTGAGCGGGAACTCTCATTTTAACCCTGGCCCGGGATGGAGTCAGGGCGCAGCCCGGGCCTCCAGACTGCCATAGTGGAGCTCTCCGGCAGTGTGCTTTGTGAAACGCAGCCACGAGCGGAGTCCGTAACCAGGGCGCCCCGCCGCAGGGTATTCCCGGGATAACTAACCCAACCCCAGTAATCCCAGCAAGTTTCCAAAAACCCTTCCCTGCGGCCGCAGCCTGAGTGGTATCCGGGGCAACCGGGAGAGGGTGGAGCTGCTGGGTAGGCTCTCGGGAGGCTCTCTCCACAGCCAATAACAAACCGTAAATCCCCAGCCCATTGTTGTTTATAGCTGACCCCGCAGCGCTCCGCTAGGTGATTGGCCGCGTGAAGAAAGGGGGCGGAGCGCATCCCGGCCCCCGCGGCCACCTTTCGGCTCCATTCACAAAAATCTCGGCCTCTCCGAGTCACGTGGTGGGGGGGGGGGGGAGCGAGGCGGGGCAGGGGAAATGACACAACAAAGGCCCAAGCTCCCTCAACCAAAAAGAACTTTTTATACCACGCTCTCTCCGTGTTGTCCCCTCGGTGCCACCGACACTAGACGAAGGAGCTTTGGGTCTGGGAGTAATAAAGAGAGAGAGGGGAGAGAGAAAGAGAAGAGAGGGAGAGAGACAGACAGACAGACAAGACTGACTCACAGGGAGCTAATTCCGGGGTGCAAAGTCTAGAAGAAAAGCTGCCCCAAGGACGAGGCTTGAGGGCTGTGAGTGGGAGAGAGGTTTTAGGAAGGATTGAGACTTTTTTGCTTGCTACTTCCTCCAGTCAGCTTTTGAAAGTTCAGAAGAGCTCGACTGTGGAAAGCTTTGAGTTTTCTTAGTGTTCTCCATTAACGAGTTCTGATTTCGTCTCACAAAGTCATTTTTTTGAATCTTTCCGAATATTCTAGGTGTTTTACTCTCTGCAAGCCATCTCCCCCCACCCCCTTCCACTCCCCCAGCTTCCGGCCCCCTCTCTTCTGTCGGGTGGAGCTGAGTAGTGAACCTGGCATTTTCCTACCTCTTGCTGGGGCTTTATACTAACCTGAGTTCTTGGAAAGGACCTCTATCTGGTAACTATGTGAACTTCAACACTACTTGAAAAAGATCCTCTAAAGTCCAAAGCAGTGATCTTTTTCGCTCCAACTCTGTTTTTAAACAGCATAAAATGTTGAGGTTAACTGTGGGAGTATTTGAGAACAGTGAGCAGATCTCTCCTACATTCTTTTCCTTGATATCTCTGAATTTACCTTCGGGTCTTTTCTTTGCCTTAATACTTAGGAAACCCTACCTTTGAGCTTGGTGCCTGTTTATCTTCTATGCTTGATTCTGGGAAAAACCTAGGGACCCAGTGACTAAAGACATTGGAAGGGCTGACTGAATATGTATTTTTAAGAAAACATTGGAGTGGTGGAAAATGTATACAGAGACTGCTAGCTGTTTTAGCCACAAGAAGAGAAAGTCAAAAGTTCCCAAAGTTTCCACTCTTTTTGAGAATGTCTCAAAAAAAAAAAAATACGTTTTGTAAATGCCAGTCCTTCTTGAATGGAAAATTTCTTTTTGGCAGGATGTCAGGCATAGAGTGGCAGAGCAGAGGCCAGCAGCTTTGACATTTATTTACTTGTATTTTGAAATCCCATTTGGGCTCTGAAATAAGATCTTGAGAGAAAGAACCCCCTTACTCCAACAAAGTCCATTTTTGAGTCCGGAAAGTTTTTAGCTTGCATATAAAGCTATTTAAATCTTTATAGCTCCTTTGCTGCTATTTTATAAAGTAAAGTAATATTCATTAGAGGCTTTTCTGCAGTTAACTTATGGTATTACACTGAAAATGTACTTAAATGAATGTAAATAAGTGAATTTCTAAAAGTAGTTTAAGGAAAGAAAGTTTTAGTATAGTACTGCTTGTTTAAAATGCTTAATATGCATGGCTCAAGTGGTAGAGCACTCGCCTTGAGCTGCCCACAATTAACAAAAAAATAAAAATGAAAAAACAGGTTAATATAATGAAAAACAAGTAATATTGGCTTGTTTACTATTAAATAAACTAGTAATGTTTATAATTTGTCTTATTAAATTGCTATGTAGAGTAAATATTGTTGGCCTAGTTTGCACAGGGGTTTATCAAGTAGATAGATAATAAGCCATTAAATGGCAGTGATATTGTTGGGCTCCAGTGGCTCACACATGTAATCCTAGCTGAGGAAGCTGAGACCTAAAGATTCATGTTTAAAGCCTTACCAGGAAAGATAAATCTGAGAAGCTCTTGTCTCTGATTAACCAGCAAAAAGCCAGAAATAGAAGTCTAACGTAAGTGGCAGAGTGCCAGTCTTGAGTGAAAAAGCCAAGTAAGTAGAGTAAGAGACCCTGAGTTCAAGCCCTGGTACCTGTGCAAAAAGAAAACAAACAAAACAGCATTGGCATTGGAAATGAATGAGTGAAAGTAATTCCAGAGGAAAACTTGAGAATCTTAATACAATTGTGAGACATCATTCTCTCAGTGGGCTGGCTCTCTGTGGAAAGGAAATCAAAAATTTAGGAGGAAAGTAGAGCCCAGCAAAAAGGTAAAAGAAAATATTCCCTCTCCCACCATTGTTAAACTGCTGAAAAATCTGTAAACTCTTGTGAATACAGAGTTATTATGAAGATGTAGTTTTAAATTTTTTCTTAACTATACTAGAAGTCAAAATGGAAGACATAAAAATAATATATTTAATCCATCAAGTTGAAAAGAAGTTTCAAATCTGCAGAAATTTGGGTGAGACTATATGTTAAATCTACTCAACATATCTCACTGGTTGAAATGTAACCCTTTTAAAGTTAGGGTACAGTAGCTGTTATGCCCTAAAAATTATAATATTTATCAAATCTTAAAATTAAATCCAATAATCCTCATTTGAAAATTCTAGCCTGGTAAGTAAGGGAGTATAAGGATTTATAAAAGGAGGAATCTAGAAGCAACTCAATATGTATCAGTGAAGGAATGGTTTCAATAAAGTACCATACTTTCATGTCTTGGAGCGTAGCTATAATTATAGGCCTGTTAAAGAGCATGCTAAGAAACTCTTGTTAAAAAGTCAACTTCCCGGATGTTACCACATTTCTGATTCAGTAGGCTTGAGACTGAGATGAGGTGCAAGAAGCAGTGTAATTCCATTGCAGATAGTGTTGCATTGTTTCTCCAGTAAGAATCACTGGGTTGAATTTCAATCAGAAGTGCAAAGGGGGACCTGCTTGTTTTAGTCACATATTTGGTTGATCCACATATTGTAGACCATCATGGGTAATTCACTGACATTCCAATTTCAAATTACATATAAAAATCCAAGCTTTAGCCAGTCACCGATGGTTCATGCCTATAATCCTAGCTACTCAGGAGGCTGAGATCTGTGGATGGTGGTTCAAATCCAGCCGGGGCAGGAAAGTCCATGAGACTCCAATTAACCACCAGAGAACCAGAAGTGGCTGTGTAGCTCAAGTGGAAGAGTGCTCTCCTTGAGCTAAAGAGCTCAGGGACAGTGCCCAGGCCCAGAGTTCAATCCCCACAACCAACAATAACAACAGCAACAAAAATAAATAAATAAAATAAAAATCCAAGCTTCAAATATTGCCAGAAAAAAATCTGGGAAAATAGTAACACTGGGCCCAACTTTCCACATGACAAATCCTGTTGCAAAGCATCAGGAAAGGGGTGAGTTTTG